ATTCACTGGTTAGATGTAGCTGCTGCTATAAAATCTCTCATAGGTATTAACAATCTCTAAACCTACAGGTGCGTTGGAGTAAATTAGAATATCATATAAAAGTTCTTAGATTTCTAACAATTTCATTAAGAAAGTGACTCAGCAGTTGAAATATATCACTCTGGGGAACTATTAAAGGGGTTGACATATTTGAATTAATCAAGTTTTGATTAATTTAGATGATTAGGACTTAGGTTTTTCAGAACATGAAATTACATAAAAAAAATTCAGAGTATAAAATCAACCTTGTTGAAAAGTATGCCCAATGTGCTCAAGTATGCACAGTATGCTTTAGTTAATTGAATTTGGAAAGGTGTTTATCAACCTTGAACCATAGTGCTTGTGATATTCATTTATAGATAGATATATATGCATTTGAAAATAACGATGATAAAATACTGTTGAAATAAATGTCACACTGATGAAGTGAGCAGTTTTACTCACGATTTAGTCATTCAAAAGCTTTAGTCAACAGTAGTTTTAGCCTGATTTAGATTTAGTTTTTCATGTATTCTCTGTCTGCACATAAAGCACACTTCCTATAAATAACAACAAAATAATACAAAACAAATATACATATCCATCGTATTTTTAGAAACCATATAGATGTTATTATGAATTTAATTGTGTTTAAACATATGTTTGATTAAATACTTCTTTTATTATTAATTTGACTGGTTTTCTCAGCTGATGAAATGCCAAAAAAGACTGTTTAGCAGAAGAAAAAAAACATTTCTACTTGGATCCTTAACAGCCCGATCCCTCGTGGGTGAATTTCAGTTCTGAGAGATATTTCTCCTTGGCTCTGCCTTTGGCTAAACTTTCTTATGCCTCATCCAAAATACTTAGGTTATCCTATGCTATTTTCTGCATTTGTGCTGCTATAGGCTTAGCCGGCTGGAAGACATGGGGACCCCTTTTCATCATTCTATCTATTCTCCCGTTCTGTAGTATTTCTTTGTTCACTCTCTAACTTTATGGTGTCTCTGCTTTTCTCATCATAGTAGCCTTATCCTGTAAGTTCCTCAACTGGCTGTGAAACCATCCTGGAGAGAGGTGTAAGCTGTGCTGCTGCCATCACTGCCTTTGTTTATAGATGTTGGAGCATTGCCTGTTTTTCAGATTTTTGGTGTAGTTCTGTTATTCTGTGTATGTGTGCTCTCCATCATCCTCTCATACGGGAGCTAGCTTGGAGCTCGCCTGCCTTGCTGTGTGCTTCCTGGACGGGGCCGCCTGTGGAGCTGATTGACAGTTGCCTTTTGTATCTCTTTGTCAGCTCCTCGATCCCCAGTCGGCCTTGACAGTTCGCCGCTCATACTGAGCCTGGTTCTGCTGGAGATTTCTTCATGTTAAAAGAGGGTTTTCTTCTCCACTGTTACTACAAGCATGCTTGGTGTGAGGGATTGCCTTCGATGAGTTGAATAAATCAGCTGATTTTTCTTTAGATAGAAAACTTTGGACCAATCTGACTATGATCTGGTCAAATTGTCTCTGTACAGTGCCTTGAAATGAGATGTGTTGTGAATTGGCGCTATATAAATAAACTGAATTTAATTGAAATTCTCAATGGATCTGCTCACAATTAGTAATAGTCCACAATATTGTTGTGGAATGTTGCTTGCTAGGCTGTCCTCAGGGGAACACCAGACCACACTGTAGGATATCTGGTCCAGACAATCCAAAATGTTGGATTTTCCAGATTGCGTTCAGAGGGGACTTTGTGTCCTTCCAGGCAGACCCGATCACTATTAACACACCACACCCAATAGGATTATCTCACCTATAATGTGGTGTCTCTCAAAAGGAGTAGACCTTTACCAGAAATCGGCATGATTATCTTTTATTGTGCACCCACTGTGGTTAGAGGCCATTTTAAAAAACAACACTATTTTATATGGCAGATTTATCAATATCTGTGTAATGAATCTAAAAGTACAAGTTTAATAATAATAATAATAATACATTTTATTTGTATTGCACTTTACATTTAAAAAAAATCTCAAAGTGCTACAAAATTCATAGTTAAAACAAAACCGTATAATAAAAACAGTATACATAGTTAAAATGAGACATTACAGTATGATAACATACGTAGTAAAAACAAAACAGTAAAATAACCATAAAACCACACAGATAAAATACTAACTAATGTTCATAGGCTTTTTTAAATAAAAATGTCTTGAGGCCTTTCTTGAACGCCTCCACACTCTGTGGGACCCTAAGGGACTCTGGGAGGCCATTCCAGAGTTGTGGGGCAACTGCCTGGAAGGCCCTATCTCCCATTGTGCAGAGCTTGACTCTTGGCTGGTGCAGTCGGTGGGTGGAGGTGGTGGAGCGGAGGGTTCTGGAGGCGGTGTGAGGTGTGAGGAGTTCCTTGAGGTAAGCCGGGGCAGTTCCATGTATGCACTGGTGAGTGAGGAGGCAAAGTTTGTAATGTATTCTGTGTTGGATGGGCAGCCAATGAAGGGACCTGAGGACTGGAGTGATGTGTTCGTTTTTGCGCCTCCTCGTCAGGACCCGGGCAGCACAGTTCTGGATGTGCTGCAGCTTTTGTAGACTTTTGCCAGGGACCCCGACGAGGAGGGCATTACAGTAGTCCAATCTGGAGGAGACAAAGGCATGGATTAGCTTTTCTGCGTCGGGTTGGGAAAGGGAGGGGCGGAGTTTGGCGATGTTTCTGAGGTGGAGGAAAGAGACCTTGCAGAGGTGACGTATGTGGGAGTCAAACGTGAGATGTGGATCCAATTTGACACCAAGGTTTGTGACAGATGAGGACAGAGGGATGTTTTGACCGAAGATAGGGATACTGTTTAGGGAGAAGGACTTGGTTTGGTGTGGGGTGCCAATGAGAATGGCTTCTGTTTTGCTGCTGTTGAGCTGTAGAAAGTTTTCAGCCATCCATGTCTTTATCTCCTCCAGGCAGCAGTGAAAAGCAGATGGCAGAACTGTGGGAGAAGTGGAGTCCATTTTTATGTACAACTGGGTGTCATCTGCATAACAATGAAAAGATACCTTGTGTTTTTTGATTATCTGACCGAGTGGGAGCATGTAGATGGTGAAAAGGGTCGGCCCAAGGACCGACCCTTGAGGCACTCCGCAGGTGACTGTATGGGGTGATGAATTGGACTGTCCTATGGCAACAAATTCGGACCTTCCCGTGATATATGACTGGAACCAGTTGAGTGTGGTTCCAGAGAGTCCAACTGTGGACTGAAGACGATGGAGTAGGATGGTGTGGTCAACGGTATCAAAGGCAGATGATAAGTCCAATAAGAGGAGGAGTGATGGTGAGCCCTGGTCCGCAGTCATGAGTAGGTCATTCATGACGCGGACCAGGGCTGTCTCTGTGCTGTGTGCTGATCGGAAACCGGACTGAAATTTTTCATATAGTTTATGGGTGTGAAGATGACTGTGGAGTTGAGCTGCTACAACTTTTTCCAGAACTTTGGATAGGAATGGCAGGTTTGAAATGGGTCTGTAGTGGGCCAGGATTTCAGGGTCGAGTGAGGGCTTTTTCAGATGGGGGCGAATGACTGCACTTTTGAGAGCTGGAGGAACCTGACCGGAGTGTAATGACTGGTTAATTATTGCTGTGATTAATGGACTGATGGCTGTGATGTGATTTTTTAGTAGTGCAGTGGGGAGAGGGTCCAACACGCAGGTGGATGGCCTCATGCTTTTTAAGATCTTCTCCACCTCTGTCTGCGTGACGTCTGAGAAAACTGAGAAAGTATTGTGTTGGGTTGAGGGAGTGCCGTCAGCGGGTGACGGTGATGGGGCTGTAACAGGGAAGGCTGACCGGATTGATGCTACCTTTGTTTTGAAGAAGTCCATAAATCTGTTACACTGACTAGTACTATTATCGACATGTGCATGTGTGGGAGGTTTGAGCAGAAAATTTATTGTTGAGAATAGTTGTTTTGGGTTTCCAGTGCTGTTTGAGATTTTTTGTGAGAAATATTGGGATCTGGCTGTGGTGAGTGCTCTGACATATGATGTTCGATGTTCACGGTAAGCCTGTCTGAAAACTTGTAGTCCAGTGGAGGTGTATTTCCGCTCCAGGGCACGGCCAGCAGTTTTCATTTTGCGGAGCTCTATGGTGTACCAGGGGGCTGATTTGGAAAAGTGAACTGTTCTTGTTTTTAGAGGTGCATGAGATTCCAGGATATTATGGAGGCTGGAATTGTAGTAGTTAACAGATCCATTAATTGATGTGAACTGTGGGTCAAGTGAGATGTTTTGTATGTCCTGGTTGAGGAGGTTGCCATCTATTGCTTTTAGGTTTCTGAAATGGATCTGACGTTTTGTTTTATTTAACGGGCCTGCTAAGGACAGTTCCATGGAGATGCTGTTGTGGTCTGACATGCCTAAATCATGTACCTGCAGATTGGTGATGGAAGCACTGTCTGTAATAACCAGATCCAGTGTGTGGCCTTTGGTGTGTGTTGGTACTGTGACATGTTGTGTAAGATGTAGACAGTCCAGGAGTTCAAGAAATTCTGCAGCGGGGCGATTAGTGGGGGAGTCTACATGTAGATTGAAATCCCCCAGTATAAGTGTGTTTTTGGCTGTTGCACAAAGGGTTGTCAGGAGATCCTGCAGTTCATTTATGAATTGGGGGTGTGGTTTGGGAGGGCGATAAATGAGAAGAATTTAAACTGTTTCTATTTGTGATTTGCATTTAAAGAGAAGGCATTCGAATGTTGTCAGCTCTGGCAGTGGGTGGGGAGTTATAATTAGGTCCTTGTGATGAATAACAGCAAGACCTCCTCCACGGCCGATGGTCCGAGCCTTTTCCAGGTAGGTGTATCCTGGAGGACAAGCTTCATTTAATGTCAGATACGACCCTGGTTTGTGCCAGGTTTCGGTGAGGCACATTATATCTATGTTTTTGTCCAGTATGCGGTCAGATATCAGGCCGCTCTTATTTGTTAGTGATTGGGTGTTGAAGAGTTCCATTTTTATTTTGGAGGCTGGCTTATATTTTGGGAAAGAGCGAAGAAGACTGAAATCCACTCCGCGTATTCCAGCCCTCCGGTATTGTGGCTTATTAGTCCTTGTATTGGGCATGCTCTGATGACGTGTTGATTGAGGCCGCGGAGTTGCAGCAGGTGAACATGGTGGGGTCCGGGTGGATACGAGCTGGTGAGGGAGTCTCCCCATCTGTGGGATATGGCCGATCCGCGTCCGTATATAGGTCGACAGTGGTGCGGTCCGGTCTCGCCATGGTTGACTGGAGCCGTCAGGGGATGATGTGCCAGTCCGGAATGTAGCCGCAGCGTGGCTAGCGTGCGTGGTCTGTCCCAGGTAGACACGCCGCTCCCGGGCCATGATAGCTCCGTTCCGCTGATCGCCTCGCCCGTCCGGGACACCATGAGTACCTCGCCGTCTGTGGAAAAGGACGTTGCTCCTGCTGACTGGAAAAATCTCTTGGGCTTTGCTTCAACAGGCAAGTAAGTAGCAGCCAGGTAGCCGGTCGGTAGCCGGCGGGAAGCAGCCAGGTAGCCGGTGGGTAGCCGGCGGGAAGCAGCCAGGTAGCCCGTGGGTAGCCGGCGGGAAGCAGCCAGGTAGCCGGCGGGAAGCAGCCAGGTAGCCGGTGGGTAGCCGGCGGGAAGCAGCCAGGTAGCCGGTGGGTAGCCGGCGGGAAGCAGCCAGGTAGCCGGTGGGTAGCAGCCAGATAGCCGGTGGGTAGCAGCCAGATAGCCGGTGGGTAGCAGCCAGGTAGCCGGTGGGTAGCAGCCAGGTAGCCGGTGGGTAGCAGCCAGGTAGCCGGTGGGTAGCAGCCAGATAGCCGGTGGGTAGCAGCCAGGTAGCCGGTGGGTAGCAGCCAGGTAGCCGGTGGGTAGCAGCCAGGTAGCCGGTGTAATCAAAACAGGAGCCCCGCTTCAGTTCTGGATGTTATCTTTGCTGGTTGCTTACGTTTCCCTCTCCTTCAACCACTCAATCATACATACGCACAAAGAAAGCTACAGTTGGTGGTAATCCATCCAAGTTTCACTTTTTTCCTTGAATCACTGGATTTATTTTAATGGTATCTTAACTGGTTTTCTGAGACAACCAAAGCACAATTCAATAAATGTATTTAGGCTCACACTGATTTAAGACAGGTCCATCATGGCTTCACATCCATCTGTAGAGAATAATGGCGTATCACACACATATTTTTCTGCCTTTAGGCAAATGTCAGATCTGCCTTTAGGTCAGGAGTAGAAGATGGAAGGTGTAAAATGGAGGGGCATAGTGCTACTCCTTACAGAGTTAAGATAAGACCTAAAATGACAGGACCAAATGAGAGGGTAGGAAAGAAAGGTATTATTCTTTTTCTCAGGACTTGATTTCACTGAATACCACAGGGAATAAACAGGATATTCCACCTGTCTTTCATGATTTTTGGAGGACAGTGTGACCTTTTTAGTCCCTGCTGCAGGTGAATTTTATCTCTTAGAAGTAAACTTTTTTGGGAGAAGCAAGAGACATAGTAATAAAGGACAAAAGCAATGATGCGCTATATCTAACAACAACATGTGTAGCGATAAAGGAAAGCCTCGCTTATTTGACTGGCATTACAATTATGATAGCTTTTTTGATTAAAGGCAGACACATAGATGCGTGTTTGTCAACTAGAGGATTTTTTTTTACATAATTAGATCATCTAATTATCTCAAATTGTAATAGAACAATCTTTGACTGACAGCTTGGCCCTTTGTTCTAATGTCCTCTGGAGTAATAAACCCCCTTCCCCAATAAAAAGGGTTAATTTTCTCAACTTTGTTACCTGATTTGGTTATCTGGATCTCTCTGCAGATTGCTTCCTCCTTTCTTGTAGTTAATCTCCCCTACTGTCTGACATAGCAGAGTTTGACCTCATGGATGTGTCTCATATGTTTGAGCAGGTACTGACAGCAGCTTAACTCTAGTGTTAAGGCCTGTCTTTAGATAAAAGAGAAGGTTGAAGGAATGCTGCAGATCATTTTTCCAGACCAAGGCTGCTATCTATAGCCGTAGCCATCACTGAAACCTCTGCACATTATTCATATCCATATTAATGCAACAGACATGAAACCTGTCTCACTTTATAACATGTGATCTTCTCTCTTATTACGCTCTGTCTATTTTAGAAGTCTTTTCATGGTTTTATATTACTTTTTCCTACTTGGCTCTTGCTCATCGACTTAGATAAGAACTTTTAATGGAATTTTCGGCGACATTACATCCTAACTTAAATCAAGCAATTCAAATATCTGAAGTTTAAACAAGAGAGAAGCTAGATCAAAGGGAAGCATTCAGGCGGAGAATTTCTTTGAGCTTTGGTCAGACGCTTCATAAATAAAACAATAGAAATAACATTTAAAATAAATCCTCTCATCTGAAGACACATCAGGTTCTCAGAACAGGATCCGACAGACTCAGAGGTCCAGGATTCCAAATAAAGCTCAGACAAACAGATCAGAACATGAACAGGCAGGCTCAGAGGCCCAAGAATCCGAATACAGGTCAGGCAAACGAATAAGATGGGAACAGGCAGGCTCAGTGGTTGAGAGGCAGAACACGTCAGGATCAGGTAATCAGAAAACCTAAAGAGCTTGGTATACTCCCGCAGAAGTGTGTCGCAGTGAGTTTGACGCAGACATTTTTTGATTTATGCTCAATTTTGAGCGTGGTCTGCGCTATATACAATGTGGGTCTAGATACGGCAGACGCGGCGAGGAAGTGGGGGCGAGTTTTGTCCGCTAACAGAGGGACATGACGGTGAAAAATTGCGGGGATCCAGGTGGAAAACGGGTCCCAGCATTCTCGCGTGCCTTAATCTTCTAGCTGGTCAAACTTCACGAGTTGTTTTCCACATTGTTGTTTTCGCTCATAAAAACGAAACAAGCCGGCCTCCTGTCTGCGGCACTTTCTGCGGTCAGGTACAATTTGGGAGAGGTGCAGAGTGTCTGCGGAGGGGGCGGGGACGTCTTTTTGTTCACTGTGACACCTATGCAGACCACCTAGTTTCGAAGTACAAATCAGCCTTAAGGTAATGCTAAAAATGCTCTCACCACTGAGATCAGATGGGAACAGGCTGGCTAGGTGGTTGAGGGGTAGAACAGGTCAGGATCAGGAAATCTGAAACATCAAGGTACTCTAAAAACACTTTCACCACTGACTAGAGAGAACAAGAATAATCTGGCTATGATGACTGGATGCAAGCACCTTAAATAGAGACAGGAGTGGGTGGATCCGATGAGCAGTAATGATAAACCGGATAGAGTTAAACAGGTGAATGAAATGAATAAAGCCAGTCATCAGCACCAAGAGCTTGACACCTACCAAATTTAAATAGAAAGCCATTACGTCAATTTAGTTTTTATCCCCAAAAATGTAATCCCACACTCAAAGTGTAAAATGTCAAAAAATATATTCTCTAAATGTATGGATTTTTCTTTGTAAAAAGAGACAAAAACAAAAGATTTTGCAGTTCTTTTGGGATTTATTTTTTCCAATAGCCAACAGTGAAGTTTTTGGCACACCTGTTTTCAATACTCTGCCCTAAAAAGGGCTTTGTGGTCTAACAATGTTCATATGGCTTTTTGAAGTGAAATAGGCTAATAGTATCTGGGGATGTCCAAGTAATTTTTATTTTTATTTTGATGCAATACAGATATTGCAGCTTTGAGTATTGATCAATACCAATATTGACCTGACACGATATCAGTACAAATTGTATCATCCTATTGCTCATCTCTTATTGTGGATTATTGAGAAAAGCTTGATCAAGTTGAAACCCAAACAAAGAAAAATATTCAACGATGGGAATAGGAACAACTGGCACATTCCTATTTAACGAAATGGTGACATAAACTTTAAACAGAGGCGGAGACTAACCATAACTAGTAAATACTTTGGATTACTTTACAGCGAAAAACCCTAACTGTGCTACTATCTTAAAACACATTTCACTTCAACTGTGTGCTTTGGTTAGGTTCAAATAATAATACCTTTTTTTTTTTTTGCAACAAACATTTAAGGTTCACTTTAAACAAAGGCTACGAGAGTCACTTATGCCCACAGTCAAGCATAGTAGAGGAAGGGTGATATGGAGATATCCTGATCAATATTTATCTCTGTTATCAATCTGATATAAGTAAAAAAAAAATATATCGGGATTTATTTGCTTTTTTTATAGAAATGCTAATAAAAAACACATGCCTTCTATCAGCTAGCTAATGGAGGATCAGAGATGGGAAGTAACGAAGTACAAATACTTTGTTACTGTACTCAAGTAGATTTTTCTGATATTTTTACTTTACTTTGCTACTTATTTTTATGGCGACTTTTTACTTCTACTCCTTACATTTTTACACAAATATCTGTACTTTCTACTTCTTACATTTAAAAAAATTGGCTCGTTACTTTAGTTTTAAATCATTTCAATGGTGTTACCGTTATTATTTTTCACGTCATCAATACCAAATTCAATCTAATTGGACGGGAATCTACGTTGCATTTAAACGCACCGCTACAAGATGAATCGACAGATTCGGCGGTATTCATTGAGGGCAAATCATTGCAGCTTGGTGGCGTTGGCGTTAGCATAGTAGTATGGACGACGAGATGATTGAAAATGAACACAACGGAGATCTAGTCCTATTGGCAGACATCCATTTAAAATGCAGGCAACGGCATGAAAAAAGTGGTTTCTACTTTTACTTTTATACTTTAAGTAAATTTACATGCCTGTACTTTGTTACTTTTACTTGAGTAAAGAAGTTTAATCAGTACTTCCACTTTTACCAGAGTATTTTTTAACACAAGTATCTGTACTTTTACTCAAGTACGGAAAGTGAGTACTTTTGCCATCTCTGTGGAGGATAATCCTTTGTCACTGTTGTTATTCCTTCATCTAAAAGACCCAATATCCTGCCATTCTTCCTTTAAGGTATTTCAAAGACAAGTGACACTTTTTTTTATTAGATTATACACATTAACCTCTTGTTGATAAGGTTTTCTGGCTTTTTAAAGATTTGTAGCTGGTGATTCATTGGAAACAATACAGGTGCTGGTCATAAAATTAGAATATCATGAAAAAGATTGATTTCAGTAATTCCATTTAAAAAGTGAAACTTGTATATTATATTCATACATTACATACAAACTCATATATTTCAGATGTTTATTTTGTTTAATTTTGATGATTACAAATGACAACAAATGAAAATCTCAAATTCATCATATCAGAAAATTAGAATATTACTGAAGACCAATAAAAACAAAGGATTTATAGAAATGTTGGCCAACTGAAAAGTATGAACATGAAAAGTATGAGCATGTACAGCACTCAGTATTTAGTTGGGCCTCCTTTGGCCTGTATTACTGCAGCAATGCGGCGTGGCATGGAGTCGATCAGTCTGTGGCACTGCTCAGGTGTTATGATAGCCCAGGTTGCTCTAATAGTGGCTTTTAGCTCTTCTGAATTGTTGGGTCTGGTGTATTGCATCTTCTTCTTCACAATACCCCATAGATTTTCTATGGGGTTAAGGTCAGGAGAGTTTGCTGGCCAATTAAGAACAGGGATACCATGGTCCTTCAACCAGGTACTGGTAGCTTTGGCACTGTGTGCAGGTGCCAAGTCCTGTTGGAAAATGAAATCTTCATCTCCAAAAAGTTGGTCAGCTGCAGGAAGCATGAAGTGCTCTAAAACTTCCTGGTATGTGGCTGCGTTGACCCTGGACCTCAGAAAACACAATGGACCAACACCAGCAGATGACATGGCACCCCAAACCATCACTGACTGTGGAAACTTTACACTGGACTTCAAGCAACGTGGATGAAGTGCCTCTCTTCTTTTCCTCCAGACTCTGGGACCTTGATTTCCAAAGGAAATGCAAAATTTACTTTCA